TGGAAAAGATTTTGCAGGAAAATAAGTGAGTTTTTATACTTATTTTCTTGTTTTCAACGTGTAAACAATAAATATTGTCCTAAGATCATTTTTGTATGTAAGCTAGATAGATTTATGGGAGGTCGTACCGGGGTTGGAGTGTGGGGGTGAAGATGAGGTGTGTTGGAGGGTGAAAAGGACACAATCAATGTGGAATGCTACTTGTTGAATTTGTTTTCCCTACTTCTATTAGTGAAGTTATATTTAAGGAACTTGTTTTCCTAGATTAAATATTTTCCAAAAATTTTAACTAACCGAACAAGAGAAAATTGGAAAGCATTTCCTAGAAAATGGTTTCCTCCAAACGGAACAAACCTTAGTTAGGTCTGGTTTTCTTGGGGAGATTCTTTGTTTGGTTCAAGGTAAGTGTGCAATTTAGATGACCTGGTAGTTGTATTATATCCTTGATTAGTCTTGAAGGATGAATCATTTAGTATTGGAATAAAATAGGCCCGAATAGAATGTACTGGTTACTGAAAATTCAAACAATTGAGTATGAGTAGTTTGGAGTTCAGTGAATTTTATTTGGACTACATTAAGGATTCTCTGTTGTGCTGCCTGCAGTCAATTGTTTTGTCTTTTGAGGAATCTTTCCTTGATAGTCCCTAGCTTTCCACCAATGTTGGTCATCAAATGATTTTCTTCCCTTTCTTTTAGTTCTTTTTCTTTATTAAAATTAAATTGCATGAAACTACGATTTGTTTGTGTACTGTGTTAGTCTGAAGAAGCTCTATACTACTATAGAGGGTAAAATTCGGCATTTTGCTTAATACCATTTCTGTTAAAATGGTTGTTTGATTTGTTTGTGACTATGTCATTTTGATCTTTGTTTGATTTGTTTGTCACTATGTCATTTTGATCTTAACAGGAAGAGTCATCTGGATTTCTTAGCTTAAACAGAGTTATGAGTCTTGACAGGTGGGATTCATCTTTAACCTTTCTTTTGAATAGATATATATCAGTTCATTCTTCCTCTAATGTGATTGCATTGGAGGATGCAGTATGGAAATTGACCTAACCAAGAAGCTTATAACCCCTTCAAAACCTACGCTAGATGCTGAAGTCGAGGAAAATAAAGTAATACAATTTTCAGACACTTAGCTTTAGCTATTTGGCATTATTTTCTTTTTACAGACTTTGTTCAAGCTGAAATTAGTTTTCAGGCTAGTGTAAGTGCATCTCAAAAATGGAGACCAGCACCAACACGACGCGAGCAGGAGAAGTGGGTTAGGGCTGCAAAGGCTGCAACTGGAGGCAGTGTATGTTTCTAGAATTGCCTAAAGAATTCGTTTCTTGAAATTTGGTACTTCTTTTTTTTTTTTTTGCTCAAAATGTCTCCCTCCTGAGATATAAAAGTATGCTGCTTGACCTTATAATGCTGAGTTATCCATCCCTCAGGAAGTGTTACTCCGAGAAACAAGACGTTCACAAGAGGACCCAAATATTTTGGCTGCTCAGTCAGAGGAGCAGTATCTTAAGGTACATGTTTATTATTTTCTCCACATGAATCATACTCTTGACTGAGATCTGTTGACTTTGTACAAGTTCACACATCTAAAATACTTGTGTTTCTTTCCTCTGCAGTTGAAGGACAAATTACAGTTACTCACCCTTAGGATTGGTGGTGTTGGCATAGTTTCAGCCTATGTCTCTTATTCTCCTGAAATTGCAGCAAGGTAAATTAGTTATCTTTCTAGAAGTTCTAATTATTTTCAATCTCTTCTGGATGAATGTATGGTCTGATCAAGTGATGTTGTAGTTTAACGTAACCCCTTATCGATTAAACTAGCTTTCCTTTGATTAGTATATTGATCCGTGTTGTTTCTAATGTTAATAATATTTGTGAATGAAGCAACTCTTCACTTGCTTCTTTTATCCTTCAAAAGGTGATAGTGTTACTGAACAAATAGCCATTTTATACAATGAAATGACCAAATGATCTTCTAGTATACTTTGTATATCTTTTATCAAGTCGTGACTGTTTTATTTCTGTTTTGCTTATCGAATTTTTTCAAACTTGTTATAAGGATTGAACAGTCTTTTGGATTAAGTTGGTGGGTGATCTGCGCATCTTCCATGAAGCTATTAAAATTGATGTTGATAAGATATTATGTGTTTCTGTGACCATTGACGATGCTTGGCCACTTGGTTCTATCATGTGCATGCATATGTTTGGTGTTAATAAAATGTTACGTTTTCCATTTGTCCAGTTATGGTGCTGGGCTACTTGGATCGTTGATGTACATGCGTATGTTGGGGAACAGTGTGGATTCTCTAAGGACAGATGGACCCAAAGCGCTTATCAAGTATGCTTTTAATCTTTAGCTGATGGCTCTTTCTGTGCATGTTTATCTCCAATATTTTGATGACCTTTTACTGTCCACTATAAAGAAGTACCCCAGAGATGAGGGTTTTTTGAGTTAATACAAGTATAAGTAAGACAAAATGTGTACACTGCAATTTTGCCCCACATAGAAGAGTGAAGTTGAAATGGCATTAGACAGAGCTTGTTTTAGGTAATTAAAATTATAAATGAATTTGTAACACATGTAATTTGAATTGGATGTCTGAAATGGAGGAGTGTAACAAGAGGGCTATGCTATAGTAATTTATAAAATGATTACAAGACCAGTAATGAGTAATGTTATATCAGAGGTAATTTGGCATAAACATGTTCAAATGAAATAAATAGATGTTTACGATTCATATAGCCAACCGAACTATTTTGCGACTGAGGAAATGAGCAGATTCATCATTGTTAATTGTGGATTCTTAGACCTAAACCCTTGACAGTCATATCAAAGAAAGGGTTTAAATTAGAAGTGTACATGATCAGCTATACTATAGTTGTTTCAATGTGGATAATTTCTTGATTCCAGGATTTTAAGCTATTAAGCAACAACGGGTAGGTAAATAGAAATCTACAACATGAATCATTCTTGAATCCCTAACTGACATAGGAACCGTAGTCATATGCCATAAGGCACTAGTTTGATCTCTGATTAATTAACTTACGAGAAAGCTTTACTTGCAGGGGAGCGGTTGGGCAGCCAAGGCTACTGGTTCCTGTTGTTTTGGTCATGATCTATAACCGGTGGAATGGGTAAGGATCTTCCACTATCACTGTATTTCGTTAAAACATGTGCGGATAGAATAATTATCGCAAGGAAACTTCTCTTATAATGTTACTGCGCGGATGAAGAAATTGAAGATGGTTAGAAGGAGCTTCAGTTTCTCCTATTCACCATTTACTTTCAAGATTCAGTTACATCTTTTGGTCTACCAAAGTTAGAAGTTAACCACTTAAGACGAAGAACAAAAACGAAACTTAGCAAGCTGAGGAACATTATTGACACTTGAATTTCAATTTAATGTACTAAAACAACAACATACTCAGTGTAACCCAACAAGCAGGGTACGGGGAGGGTGGTGTGTGCACAACCATTCCCGTAGCTCTTCTGATTTGTGAAGGTAGAGGGTTGTTTCCAATCGACTCTCAGCTCAAGTAAAATGTATCAAAAAAACAAGTATGCATAGCAAATATAGTAGGGATGAGCCATACTGGAAAACAATGGAGAAGAGAACAATAGCGTCAAATAAAATTATGAATGTGTTTGTTTCTAGTTTGAGATGTCCCAAGGATACCAAAAATCGAAGTGAATTTCTGATTCAGTACCAAGTAATTAGTCACCTTCATTCATGAAGAGTTGAAATACCACAAGAACGGGTGTTATCAACCATTCTATAGTAGCTTGAATTCGTTAGTTACTAAATGAACCTAAGAATCATTTATAGACTCTATTCTTCGACTGTTCTGGAGCACACACTGATGCTTTTACAGTGGATAAAAGCTTTAGTTGTGGTTGTTTGCTTACAACTTGTATGGATTTGGTATGTTTTCAGTATCCTTTCGGTGGAGTATGGACTCATGCACCTCGAGTTGATACCCATGCTAGTGGGGTTCTTCACTTACAAGATTGCAACTTTTGCACAAGCAATTGAAGAGGCAGTGACAATTGTAGGGAAGAAGACAGAAACATAATTATAATAGGTATAGTTACAAAGTCTCATGTAGGATTGATGAGCTTTTGTATCTCAATATTTTGTTTACTAAAAGGTATATACATATTTACTACAACATTTTCTTGTTTTAGAACAAGGTGCATAGTAAAAGCAACAATGAAGTTTCATGTTGAGTTCATATCCTTTTAGACACAAAACTTATCAAGGAGTACAAGAAAATATCGTTTGTCCCTATTTTGAGTTTACTCTCACCTAGTAACTCATTTCGTCGAATTAGTCGAGGTGCGAATAAGCTGGTTTGGACTCCACAATCATTAAAAAAATTGATTTTCTTGCGTATTTTCTTGTGTTTAGTAAGTAAGAAGATAGTGCATTTAACAATAATTTGGGAAAATACTATGACATCGGACTTTAAATACTATAATTGAGAGTCCAGTCTTGGACCTTACAAGTAGTTCTTTCCCTGTCAATGGTGTGTACATACTATTGTTTACCTGAAAAAATATCCCAATTCAAAAAGAAAAGAAACCGTCATTAGTCACGTGGTGGAATTCTTAGTACTCCTTCAGAAATCTCGAGTTTGAGATTTCTTGTACACACTAATGCCCATACCATACACCTGTGACAGAAAATGTTTTATGTAAAGTTTATTCTTCCATTATTCTTCATCAAAATAAGTGTAGGACAATGAGAAACTTTAAATAATATATATATCTACATTCAGATATCAAGCTCTCGTAGCTCAGTTGGTTAGAGCACCCGTTTAGTAAGCGGGAGGTCTCTTGAGTTCGACTCTCAACGAGAGCAATCAATTCTTTCTATGTCCATTTATTTTTTTACGTTAATGGTACTATATCATAATTATGCATCTATGAATAGAAAGCAATTTAAGCAGGCCAAAAACTATAATAAAGAATGAAGTAAAAGACTAAAAATCATTACAGAATAATGTCAGACAGTGATGTGTTTGTGGGCAATACTGAAGCTCTACAAAAAGGACATGATTTTTTCCTGTGCAACCATTTGTTGATGCATTCAGCATGAAATTCATGGCCACATTGAAGTGTGCCAATGTTATCTTCATCTTTATATTCAAGTAAGCAGATAGCACATGCATCTTGTTCCTCATCATCTTCGTTGGTGTCTATGTCCATAACACAAGTAACATAACATGTACTTTTTCCAAAATACTCAGACATATCTTCTTCCTCAACCACCTCTTCTTCTTCTTCTTCAATTTCATCAGTATAGGTGTCATCAAGAATGGATTGAGGCACTTGAATATTGTATCGAATGTAGTTAGTATTCACTTGCATTCGAGCTGTTCTAGTCCTTCTTCCACTTGTTTGTTGATTGCCTTGATCAAGCACATGTATATCATACTCCATTCCTATTTCTAACTCATTCATGATTTCTTCTTCTTCCTCGTCTTCTTCCATACTATCTTCATCCAACAACTCTTCTTCTTCAATTTCATCAACAATTTCACCAATATCTGAATGTTCTAACTTAATATGAGACATGAAACTATAATCAACAGGAGGCATGAGGTGTTGTAGTCGATTCAAGAGAGCGGCGTCAGGTGGTAATGTACGACTACAACAACAAGGAACTTGATCATGTTGAGACATTGTTTCTTCCCTGTGTTTTGTATTAGATTACCAGAAAGTTTAGAATGGGATCTACTTGTTAATGTAAACCTATATATAGGAAAAATATATTTGATTGGGAAAGGAAAATATTTATGGTAACAATTTGATTGGAAAAAATATTTTCCTAAAATATTTATTTCCGTTCTTTTCTTGCTTCCCCCACAAGTCTCTATAAAAAAAATTATCACACGTTATTATTTTTAATAATTCCGATGTGTCCATCACAAAGTTTGATAAAAAAGAGAATTACAAAATCATATCAAAGTTTAGAATTTTTCTGTTGAACCAGTAACAAAAAAAAAAATTATTTCTACATATGTTTTAGGTCTAGAAGAAAAATCCCATTTAATTAATTTACTAACAAAACCCAATATGTCCTTCACAAAGTTTGATATAAAACTGAAAAATTCTTCCTCTAAAGGCAATGGTTTCAAAAACAAATGTAGAAAAATAGGGGAAATGCAGTCTAACCAAACCAAAAGTATCAATCAAAATCCTCCTCCAAGTTGATACTAAAAGCTACAAAACAGAAACTAACGTTGAAGAAGAAATGAGAACGCGTTTTAACTTTGGTGGGAGATGTATATAACCAAGAGAGTGGAAACAGGAACTTCATGATTCGATTCACACGAGATCAATCAAGAAAGAAAGAAAGAAAGAAAGCAAGCTTAAAGTCGGAATGTAACAAAGACTGGGATGAGGGTCTGGCTTAGGCAAATCACTTTACACAGAAATAAGTTACAAACTCTTTTTCAAGTCTCAAAGAAAAAGTACATTAAAAATCAAGCCTAAAACTAGTATCTACCGCTCATCTTCAATAAAACTAGTATACTCTTGGCAAGGTTTAACCAAAATATATGTATCACCTCCGAAAGATTCGTGGAAAAAATGCACTCTTCTACTCAACATTCCTTGTACAAGTAACCATCTGCTCATAAAAATAGCAACTCATGAACTTCTTATCAAAGGAATTTCAAGCTAACATCCAGAGAGTAGCAATTAGTACATGATAATGGCACATTACAGGCTTTATGTAATATTTAGAAGGTACGAAAAGGCAACAAAAATGAAAGGATTCTCTACTTCTCGAGAAACTTTCAAGTATTTAGGAGCTAGAGTGCACCAGCAGAGCTTCTCAATAACCTTCCCTTTACCAAAGTGGAGCAAAAGTTAAGAAACACTTTACCACTAACCCTATCGACTGCTAATTCCATAATTAGAGCTCAACAGTCATAATTTCCTCGACGGAAGTAAAGAAGGAGCAAATGGTAATTTAAAATAATAGAGTAATGAAGCTTTCTTCACACAACTGAACTATTATAGTTTCTATAAGCGTCATGGTCCACGGAGATGCACATTTATGACAGAGCAAATATATTTGTTTAATGCAACAAAAAGTTCTGCACATAGACACAAGCATTGCATCTTTACTGTTCTTATTAGCCATCCTGTGAAGCTTAAACTAAGTGTTATTCTAAGGATATAGATCATAGACCAATCGCAGATCTCTAGTGGCATCATAAGATTTTCTTGCAGTAACTAGATCAACAATTCTTCAGGAATGTAAATAGATAGTCTCAAGATCATAACAATGATGTTCCGGAATACATCAGTAAGTGACTATTTTCATTTTAAATTCAATCTGTTCAAGAGATGTCAACACAAAATGTTTCAGTAACAATATTCTTCAAAAAAGTCCAATGGCAATTTTAAGAGAGAGTAACAAAAATGCAACATGCATACTTCAACATGAATTGAATAGAACAAATTAAATTTAGTTCAATTTAAGTATAAAGTACTTCTTGGGAAAATACAACTTCGTTCGAACTTACTATCCCAGATAGATACTGGGGGGTTGTTTGGAGGATGCATTACGTAGCTAGTAAGTAGTAAGAGTTATGGGAATGAAAAAAAAACTTAACAGAAAACAATAATACTATGCTTGCCAAAAGAGAAGATAATCTCAAGAGTAGCCAACAGTTGGTCAAAGAATCTTCTAAGCCTCAGGATGAAAAGAAACTCAAGTGATAATTTGGTTTATGGATCATTTTATTTCATTATTGGCTAATAAGATAAGAATTTTACATAACGAATGATTAAAAAAGTGAGAGACGCATACTTGGTTCAAAAGGCTGTCATCTAAACAGTTTACTTAAATAACTAACTGATGTAGAATAAGACCTACTGCCTGAACTTGTATAAGCACTCAGAAGCTGATTCCCAACACATGATACACCCAACTATCCAAGAAAGATTTTGTTCAGCAGCTTTGAGATTGGCAAGTCGAAGTCAAACAATAAAGATGGTGTTGCACAACTGAGCCTATGTAAGCACGAGTAATTTCATAGAGCATGGGCTTTTGCCACACTAGTACTTACGTGGATTTGATGGAAGGAGAGGAGTTAGATAGCTTTTGATGAGTGTAAAGTCCGAATTTGAAGAGTAATAGCCTCTATTTCTAGTATATTGCAGTCTGCATAGAAGATCCGGTGTACTTTGTGGAGAACCACATTTGTTTTGAAAGACTCTCTACTTTCTCGAATACTTCTTGTATAAGGAAACTTCGCCATCAATTAATAATATATGTGATTGCAACATATGTTACCTTATATATATCTTCAGATCAGTTAACCTTCTTGATAACTAACTCATATCCGAAAATTTATGCATCAACTCCTAGACGGCTAGATCAGACCAACAAAACAAAGAGGGTTAATTTTTTTTACATTAACTCTATCAGTAAGAAGAGATTCCATAAATAACTCAGCAGAAATACAACACACCGCCAATTCACATCCAATGAGAAGCACCTATTCTCCATTCTTAGTCACTGAATGATCCTTATGATTGTCGACTTCATCAAGTGTTTCTTTGCACAAATACAGATCAAAGAAAAGGGACATTACATCACTAGTTCCTACAAGCAACTGACAACACCAGTCTCAATCCGTCTTTACTCAGGAAGAACCCCAGATTGAAGCAAAGGAGCAATCAAGAAACAAACCCAATGATATACAATCATTATGATCGATCGGGAACTACCCAAACATTAAATGTCAACTAACAACTTGAATAAGGAACATCTTCAATCTTCATATATCTTTGTATCTAACATTCAAATTGAAAGGTTCTTTTAAGATACATACATAAGTAGGTACATACATACATACACAACCGTCAATTGGATTGCTATCTAAAAATCAAACACAATGAAAGAAACAGCAAATTCTCCACTAGGAATACATAGTCACTCACCAGCTTGTGAACTGTTCTTCGCGCGTTTAAGCTTTTCAAGCTGAACTTGTGACTCCATAATAAGTTTCATTCTTTGAATCTCCAAATCCTTTGCAAACTGCATTCTTTGCTTCTCTAATTCCACCATTTGCCTCTGCTTAGCATCTTCAACTCGTTCGTATATCTCGGCAAACCTTCCTATTGCTTCAGCTAACCTGCTACAACCCTCTGCCAATGCCCCACTCTCCTTCCTCCTACTTGGAGCACTGGCAGTAAATGTCGCCGGACTTGAAGTTTCCGATTCCTCCTCTTCGTCTGAATCCTCGGAGGCAGCAGCAGCTGCAGCTGCAGCCATAGCAGAGAAATTTCTCCGGGAAACGACGTCCTCCATGACTGCCGCCGGCCTCTTTGACCGTGGACCAACCGGAACGGCGGAAGTTGGAGGAGGAAGCAACGGAGGTGTCTTCCGTCGAGGAGCGACCGTCACCGGCAACGGCGATGGTTTGAAATTATCGCCGATCAGGACGTCGAGGCTGTTGAAAAATGGCCACTGCGGGACATACCGACTGTGCGATTGAGAAACCCTAGCTTTCTCGATCTTGTACTTCTTCTTCAATGTATCAATGCGGTTTTTGCACTGTATATCGGTGCGAAATTGCTTCTTCGTGTTGCCGTGAAGTTTGTTAACGGCGTTAGCCACCTCCTGCCAGTGCTTCTGCCGGAGATTACCGCGCTTCAGCTCCACATAGAGAGAACCCCACGCTTCGATCAGAGTATGAGTCGCCGCCTCCGACCAACAGTCCTCGCGAGCCGGAAATGCAGCCGGACGAGTCGACGCCGGCGGGATCATCGGTGGCGGAGGAAGAGTTGCTAGTTCATTCTTTACAGAAGACGGTGGAGGCGATGGAGACGGCGACGGAGAATTGTTATTCGAGGATGGACTGGCGACGAGATCGTCGTCGGACATCGGAGAAGACGGTGAGGAGGCGGCGATGGCGTAATTGGATTGTTGAACGGTGGTGGAGGAATTAGGGTTAGAAGATGAATAGAGGGTGAGAAGTAATCAGTGTGATTAGGTCGACGGTACATCGACAAAAATGTGCCGACGAAGTTTCGGTTTGGGTGGGTGGGTGGGGAAGAGGGGGTACGGGGTGGGGAATGTTTGAATATTGGGCCGGTTAAGCCCAAACTCCCGTTTTGAGAATCAAAGATGTTTTTGGGCCTTTCAGCAACATTTGGACCGAGGCGAGCGAGATTTAGAAAAGAAATAATAAATATGCATTAACGAGTATAGTCTGACACATATCGTATTCCATTAATACATGTTGTATCACTTGTATTTATTTGTTCTTGTATTGATTCAACATGTAGCATTGCAAGTTGTATTTGATATATACATGTTGATATAGTTGTATCACTTTTGTGTTGTGTATCTTCATTCGCAAAACATAAATACAAAAATACAGATTGTATTATATACATACAGGCTGATACAAGTTGTATCACTTGTAATACTTTGTTCTTATTTTGTTTGTTGTGGTACAAAACTACATGACTATACAAATTGTTTTTAATACATAGGGTCTTATACGTTCTATATCTCTTGTATTATCCGCTCTTATATCGCTTGTATTTATTTGTGATACAAAAATACAAGCTAACATAGACTCGCACATACAGATTGATAAAAGATAATATGTCGATGCAATCATTAGAATGATACACGTTATTTTTTGATGTATTCGATCCTTGTATTACATAATACAATTAATATAATTGGATGACTTGTGTGCTTTTAATATAAATCGTGAAATACGAAATATGAAATACAAAGAGAGAAGAGGAAAAGAATTTATAGTTACCCGTAGTAGAAAGGTTTTGTTGTTGTTGTTGTGGCCCGGCACATGTCTAACTATGTGCGAAAGTGATCTATATCCAGGATTTTAAGACTTCAGGTATACCAAATGATATCTATAACTTTACGTTCACCAAATATCATACCTAAACTAACTTTAAAATAAAAATAATGAAGATGAGTTCCCCTATGATTCTCACAATATTCTAAAGTAGTAATTAAGCAATATCATAGTTCTTTATTTTAATTATCATCGATCTACATATTTATAAACTTTTATTATTCATCTATCAACAATGCTAATTAAGAAATTCGACTAGTCATTTTGCCTAAAACTTTTTAGCAAGCCTCCAACATCAAGTAGTTGACATGTTTAGATATATACAATCAAGCACTCCCATCTTAAAACTCATAAAACTAAACCCCACTAATAAATTTCAAAGTATTTTACAAGTACGCTCGATTTAGCACGAGTACCAAATATATACAAGTCAAATAAGGGTGGCTCTTTTGCTCAATAAATTCTAGAAGGATGTGTGAGTATAGACAGGTGGTAGTACTAGAATGGCACATCCAACTTGGACACAACTAATGTTAAGTGTCTTAATTTAATAGACATTATCCAATCAAAAAAAAAAAAAAACGTTATTTTCTAGGAAGAATGACAATTCTTATAAAGGGACCCAAAAACTATACCAACAAATCTAATCCACGAAGAAATACTTTAGGATAAGATTTGAAATGTCACAACTCGACATGGTAGGTTACGTGAACTTTATTACTCCTTACCGATTTCGAATTCAAGTTATAGATATGAAATTTTTTTTTGTGAAAGTCTCATTTTAAAATAGATTATAACGCGAAATTCGAATTCAATTGAGTTTTTAATATAAACTCGAAATACTGAATGACAAATAAAAAAAAAAAAGCTTAGCTTCATTACTCCCTCATAATTTAAAATAAGTGAGTTTTATAAAGCTTAACATAGTTACTGATCTTTTAAAATATTCATTCTTGTTTTGATAAGATTATTAATTACTTTCTATTTTTTTTAAAAACAATTTTTAAAAAAAAAGTTTTTAGTTCATGTTTTTAAATATTCTTTTAAGGAGCATGTTATATCCTTCCAATTCACTAAATAAAAGAGGAAGTGTTTTTATTGTTAACTCTTACATTTAGATTTAGCGGTAAAAGAAGAAGATTACAAGTAGAACAAACATGTAAATTGGATTAATTTATACGTAAAATTTTCTAATTTATAAACACTTCTAATGTTTAAAGTTTATCAAACACGTAAATAAGTTTTAAAATAGATAAATTATTTAAAGATTTTTCTTTAAGTTTGACGTATTTTTCCAAATACACTTTGAATTATCAATAGTCTTGGTTACTTTTTAAACTTGATTATTTAATAGTTTAGGATAAAAGCATGTCAAAACTAAAAGTCTTTAATAGAGATCGAAAAATAACATATTTAATTTAGAATAGTCTTTACATATTCTCGTTGAGAATAACTTATAAATTGATTTGATTGTCTTAGCCAGACACCTCTTTTTATCTAATTTCACCAAATGATTTTTTTTTCTCTGTCCTATTTACATACAATTCATTTTTTTTAAAAAAAAAAAAACATTTAGGATAAGATAAACTAATTTAAAAACTTTTCTTATTGCTTTTAAAAGAATGAAGAAAAAAGCAGCAGATTGAATAGTTGGTAACATCTCAAAATCTTGGTTTGCCTTATCAACTTATCCATTAAAAGAAGTGACACTTTCTTTTGGTATATCTTTTTTTAAAAAAACTTTCTATAAGTTATTTGATATTTGTGTTAAAATTTGATTAACGTGTTATGTAAAGTCTATTCAGGAGAAAGTATTCCTTATAGACAACTATTTTTGTATCAAAAATTTGAGAATCATTAAATTTTTAAAAATAATTAATATTTATCTTATTCATCACGTCGATAATACTGATATATATTATTTTCATAGAGGCTCTAGAGCTTTACTTTTTGTAGTGTTGGAATATGAATTCCAAGCACTCATAATTGTGAAGCACCACTATGCATGCTACTTTACTTCTTCTTTTGTGTGAATAAATTACACTAAACATTCATATAATTGAACATTTATAATTTATATATTAAGGGTGTTAAATGTATAGTTTTGAAAAATATTAAGTATAATCATAAGTAGTTCATAACTAACTATATTACAATACAATTATTCACTAAAAGAGAAATCAGAACCTATAATAAGCAAAACTTAAATATATGAAATTTAATATTATAAATACTTTTGTTGAAGTTTATTGCTTACACCTATAATTAAAAAGGAGAATTTAGTTATTAGTAATAATTCGAACTTTAGTAGAGTGTATTAGAAAATATAATATATGTATTAGGTGTGTATATTCACAGTATTTTATTTAGTATATTTTCATGTCATGTATACTCTATTGAGTATTAAGTTGTGTATTATCAATACCAAGAAATTTTAGGTATTAATAATACACAACATTTTAACACTTGCATTAGATTAAATAATTGCAAAACTACCTTTAAACCCTCTTCATTTTCTTTGTTGTCATAAGCTTTTGATTTTCTTTTTGGTGTCTTTTAATTTTTTGGTGTCTTAATAGATTTTATGACATTTTAAGTATTTCTTTTTTTAGAAAAAATAAAATAAATCTAAATTCAATATAAAAAATTTACTAGTGTAATGATGACTTTGATAAAAAAAAATTATTTTTCAACTTTTGATAAAAATATCTTGACGCAATAGTACAACTATTTAATATTATTTTTGAAAAAAAAAAGAAGAAGATTAATGATATTTAGCAAAAGAACTTTGTTGTAAAGAAAGTGTACAAATAAATAAAGTGTGAAGGACATATTTATAAAAATATATTTTTTAATAAAATTATGTCAGATTTGTAATTTCTAATATATCAAACCAAACAATATATAAGAAATAATGCTCGCATAATTGATAAAAATATTATTACTAATATAACTTATTTTACATTATTCTTATACACTCTGGCAAATTATATAGTTTTAGTTTTCTTCTTTAAGTTATCTTAGTTTACATTATTAAAAATATATTTTTTATATGCTGCAAGTGAATTCTTTTTCTTTTTTATATCGTGAACAAATAAAAATTAAATAACGTAAATATAATTTAAATGTGTATGGATATAGAGGTGCCACGTGGATCATTGTTTCTTGAGAGGACGTCGACCGTCCGCGGCGAATGGCATTCGTAATTCCACCAACTCAACCTATGTTGAATGAAAGCCCATTTTAATTTTCTATTTTGGCTTTTTTCTTCTCTTTTTTTTCAATATACAAAGTTCTTTACCTTTTAAAATAGTCCGCAATTTTTTTTAGAGAAAATTATATAAGATAGCAAACTAATAACCTAAATTAAATAGAATAGCTAGAGTTTGATTTAATTGTGCTCCATAGCAAATATTATCTAAAATTTGCCAGCGTCTCTCTCCCAGGAATCTCGCTCGCCACTCTCCATTCTCGCTCGCCTCTCTCGCTTTATACACAGAAGTGTATAATTCTGTTTCCGTTTTGTATAAAGCGAGAGAAAATTGTATATACACATGCAAAAATGTATATCTTTGTGTTATACACTTAATTATATAATTTACAAACATTTTACTTCAAAAATTGCAGAGAAAAAGGCCAACGAATTATACAATTGCGAATTATACAATTGCAGTGAATTACAATTTTCTCTAGCTTTATACAACAGAAGTGTATATATTGTGTTTCTGTTTTTGTATAAAGCGAGAAAAACATATATTTTTTTGCTATAAACTTATAAATTATGCAATATAGAATACATTTTAATTCGATTCAACTATATACAAAACAAATTATACAATTGCAGCGAAATAGGCCAGCGAATTATACAATTTAGGCCAGCGAATTATACACTCGTATATGTATAACGAATTATACAGTTTTTATGTTTGCTATGGAGTGCAATTATGCAAAGTTTGCTATATTATACAAATATGAATTTTTTGTTTGCTATATGTGAAAGTTGCCCTTTTTTTAATCGTTGATATTATAGATATTGAAATTTTATGGGTAATTGTATTTTTTGACAAATTCGGTGAAATTAAATTAGTCATTTATTTTTTTTCTCTCTCATAATATTTAAGTTCACAAATAGTTGAAAGAATGAGAATTTCGAGTCTGGCTTTGAAGTTTCAACAAGTATACACAATTCGATCGCAAGTCTGG